GCGGGAAAGCGTAACAGACAGACAGACAGACAGACAGACAGACAGACAGACAGACAGACAGACAGACAGAGTTACTTTCGCATTTATAATATTAGTTGAGATTTGATGCTGAAATAGTTAAAATTTTGTACGAATATACAATAAGGAATACAGAGATAGGTACTTACCTACTGAATAAAAATTTTAGAGAATTTTCAAATAGAAACCTCTATACTGGATTAATTCCTTTCCAATTAAGCTGGATCAGAAACCTCACAATATTAGTAACAGAACCGAGTGTAATCCTCAACTGCAAAATTAAATCTCGATATCTGAACTCTATGAACTTGTATGACCTACAATGTTGCAATGCCCTGTTTCGGGACTGTATTATTATTTAAGATCCAATTATACCAATATGATGAAATAAATATTTATGACTACGACTATGACGTCATGTATGAAATAACTTGCAAACAAATCGACTTCCAACCGCCAACTGTTCAAATTGGTCAAACAGTAGCCGTGTACATTCGTTTAGCTCTTTCTAATGTATAAAATTAGAAAAGGACCTATGATTAAAAACCAGTCTTTGTTTACCCAACAGGAATCGATGTGAAAATATGTAAAAATAACTTTCCTTTTTTCTGTTAAAAATTAATAACTTTTAGAATTCCCAACAATATTGCTAAAGTAAGACAATTCTACTAGAAATAAATACGAGCCAAGTTGACCTTTCTGACTTGTACTGCAGCGACGTTACCGCGCAGATTAGCTTGATGCAAATAATGCATGTCTCACACCTATTTACCGCACCATTAGCCCAGTTTTCAGCCAGATAGAATTTCAACTAGAACTAGAAAGTTTGCTTTTTGTAACACTAAAGTAATTGCATTAGAAGAATGTCTCTTGACCAGAATGGAATTGAGTTGAAGTGGATAGGATACACGAGCTCATGTACATGAGCTGAGTACTTGAAACTGTATAGTACAGTCTATACTGTGACATTTTATATTAAAGTAAACGTGCTACCTTGCAACGAAAATCTATCTAAATATATATAACACAAAGGTGACTGACTGACTGTCTGACTGACTGACATAGTGATCTATCAACGCACAGCCCAAACCACGGGACGGATCGGGCTGAAATTTGCGTGCAGGTAGATGTTATGACGCAGACATCCGCTAAGAAAGGATTTTACGAAACTCCACCCCTCAGATCATAGAAAGAGAATAGATATGAAGTCGCGCGTAACTACAACGAGAACCAGTGTCCCCACATTTCCCCCACCACAGCTCCCACACACACATTCAACTGTGTAAAAACAAAGCGACTGAGAGTCTACGACAACATGTGCAACCGGCTTAAAAGTGCTGTGATTGGCCAGAAGGCGTGCCTTATAGCCAATCAATGGCCGCGTGACGTGACGCACACTTTGAAAAAAGCAATTAGAGAGAAGAAAGATAAAATGGAGTCGATAAGATATCGATACTTTAAATCCTGGGGGCAAGGCTCGAAATTGGTTTAAAAAATGCTTGTATGAAAACCTTTTTATTATTATACGTTATTATTATGTTCTTTAACGATTTTTGCATAAAGGAGTCAGTTCCATTTTGTATGGACGAAAAACTCAGAATCAATTATTGGGACTAAATGAAGTTACCTTATATTAATTTACCCCAACCAAAGCTCAATGTCGTTATCGATGGAGTATAGAAGTTATAGACTGACAAAGTTTGTATGAAAAGTCATGGGTTAAGTAGGTACTTGCGATTTTTACCAGTATTTACAATATTGGTAATATATTATTATTTACTTTAATAATAATAACAGGATCACTGTAATTATTATTAACTACTATCGCGCATTAACTTTTTAATTATGGCGAAATTCGTACCGCCTATGTTTATCAAAAATAATGCCTATATTAGGCTTTCAACTAGCTCTTATAGTAATTACATAGTTGACAGTTACTAATCCCTTCTACTATTGTTATTGTTTTTGTAAAAACTTAAAAATCGCAAGCAACTCATGATTTTTTCATTCAAAATTAGAAAATAGAAAATAATAATTTACTTCTATTTATCGATAATAGGAAACCGTATTAGAACACGAGCCCTGCACTATGTTACGACCGGCACATGCGGCCGTACTGTGTATTTTCACGCGTCAGTGGATATCGGAAGAAATAAAATACATTGCGCAGTAGTTACGCATGACATAAAGTGGTTGCTAACTAAATCGTCAATGTACAACGTGTTTGAATTTTTATCACCACTAATTTCGATATCGCAGTAAATGTCACGGCACTGAATTCGTTCGTAAAAATGTTTAGTTTTTTTTATTTATATGCAAAATACCAATGGATTTGCAATACTTACATGTGGTAAATGACTTCATTGTTCCTGTAGTTCTTCGTTTCACTTATGTTATTGCACGTTACGGCGCATTATCCAACAATATCGGAGAACATTTCCTCAGTACGACTGAATCGCGACTAACCTGGCGTCGCGGGCGATGTTCGTTTCTGGGCATATCGCGGAGACACGCGCCACGCCCCCGTTTCACATCTATTCCCTTCTATGATCTGAGCTCCACCCCTAAGGGGCTAAAACGGGATCCACGCGTACGAAGTTGCGGGCAGCCGCTAGTGTAGTATAAAGTTCTGTTGACTTTACACCTTTTTTTATATCGTTGTTGAATCTATATTTTTGAAAAAACTGAACATTGATTGAGGTATGGGTTACTTTATGTAAATAAGGGACCAAAAATAACTGAATTAAAAAATCAAATTAATATATCAAAACTATTTCAACGCTAACAAAAATTTACATTGTTTGACATTACAAAAGTTTATTTAGAGAGCCCGTTAGTTCCTGAGAAGTGAAACTTTCAAAGACTGATTCAAACCCGACAAAAGTTGTGGGCAGAATCAAGTCAAATGTAACTAGAAACAATGGTAAGTAACTTTCTCCAACCAAGTTCTATTGAGGCGTTAAAAGATCGGTAAAGTTCACGACCTTAACCCTGGAAACCTAAAACCTACGTCTATTGTTAGAGTTCCGTGCCGCAAAGTAAAAAACGGGACCCTATTACAGATCGTTTCATCCATGAAGACGCGCCCCACCATTCGGTTTCAGTTTGAGTGTTATCGATACATACATTATCCATGAGTGCACACTACAATAATGATTCGAATGGCTCAGATCAAATTCCCCGCACCCTGCCCTTTCCTCGACCAAAAATTGGTGGGGCGCGTCTTCGTGGATGAAACTATCTACACTAAGACACCACTGTCCGTCTGTCACCAGGCACCTCATGAACCGCTGAAATGTTCACAAATGATATATTTCTGTTGGCGACAGATAGTGCTCTATCACGCACGTCCCGTGCCACTCCCTTACCTCAAACACTGACTGAGTAAAGCGTATTAGACCTATAAATTAAACATTCATTAATTTCTCTACGGTTTAGTCCGAATGTACCAAGTCCAACCTAACGACAAAAGAAGTACTTGTTGAAAGTCCACGACCTTAACCCTGCAAACCTATAAACCTACGCCTATTTTTGCAGTCGTTCAGTGTTCCGCCTACAGCCAAAAGTCATTATAATCAAGTGGACTTGTCTGGCCCCGCGCCAGCTCTGAGAGGGAATCAATGATACTGAGAAAGAACCGGTCGGTTCCCAGAACTGTGGGGCTTTTTGCTGGAACTGGAAATGGAATGAATTGGGAATTTAAAAGTCTATTTAAATATCAAAATACATACATCAAAATGGGGTATAAGTCGGTGGAAGGTTGCAGAGGATGTTTGGATTCGAAGAAGAACCCAAAGGCTAAGATGGATAGAAATCAAAATAGGCATGAGAGACGGTACATTTCAAAAATGCTGGACAGAAAAGGCTTAGATGTACTAGGATTCATGTACAGGGTCGAGCGCTAAACCTCAGCGAACAAATGCGAGGAATGTTCGATAAAATACCTAATTAAACCGTACATATTTATTTTATACACTCCAGTTCTCCAGTTTTATTCAATATTGGGAAACCGTTTCTGTTCGGTTTAGTCCAACTGTCAAGACAAAGTTCGTACTTGGTGCAGTAAAACATTTCAAAAGAAAGTAGGTGCTCTTGCTCAACTGAAGAAAATACGCTATTTTATTGTCCCATAAAGCCTTCAGGCGCTTAATAAAACCCTGCACCCCATCACAGAACTGATGTGACAACTCAACATTCCTTCGCCTCCATCTTGGGTAAATAAAAGTGAATGCAATGGTGTGTTCGCTGAGTGTTACAATGACGATATTTCTGCGACGACACTTATTGGATATCGCGAAGTTGTTATGAGACTCCGAAATCGTGCGGATTTAGGAGAATGAAAAGAAACTTTTCGAGTGACGAGCATGAATGGGCTCACAATACGAATGAAATGGTAGATACGAGCATAAAGCTGTGGATATTTTGCTAACATAAATCACGTTACATTACATTAGCTGATATTGGTAAAAAAAAAGGTAAAAAGAAAGGTCGTGAAGCGGAAAACGTCACAGTCATCATCACATGAAATATTTTGATTGTTGATTGGTTCAAATACCTAACTATGTTTATTTCAAAGACACAATATTACATTATCCTACGGTGTGTCATGAACTATGTAATAGCTTCCTCGATAAATCAAAATGACTCTTTTTATGGAACAGAGAAGCACTGTAGGTAAGTGACAAGTGAAGGGACGCCCTCCAGCTAGGTAGGGAGACAACTTCCTAAAACTCAGCAGAATGAGGATGCGATAAGACAAAGACAGGGTAAAATTGCGCGATGCGTACTGAGAATATTACTCCAGCAGGCGTTATGATGATGATCAGGACCGTAAATGGACAAGGTAGGATGACAAGCGAAAAATCGTAGACACTAAAGATGCGACAAGCTGAAGACAGGGTAAAATGGCTCGTATTGGGAAGGCATGTCCAACAATAAACTGCTATGGGCTAATGACGATGATGACTGTAAGTGAAACTTACGTATTCGGCACATTCCTCATCGCCTTATGCCGTACGAAGACTGCCACAAGGGTGCCATTTCCCACCACCCCAATGATGAAGATCAGGGCGAAGATCAGGGGCACAATGTACGTCTCAGGTCGCAGATAGTACGGCTGGTACTGGTAGTTCTCTGATGCGTTCAGCATCATCTCCAGGGTCTCGTTGTAGTCCTCCATGTTGCATAACTGGAACAACAGAAAGACTAAATACAGGATGTAAGAGAATCTTTTACCTAATAATCATCATCAGGGGAGATCCAGGCTAAGAACTTCCTCGTTGTGGATAAAAAAACTTAAAAAAAACGTCCTTTTGGGAATAATACTCGTACACAATATAACAGCACTGCACTACAGTTTAATCATTAATTAAGTACACATACAGGTTAAAATCTAATTAATAAAGTTATGTACTCGTATGTCCGATGATATGGAATCATTTGTGTATAAGATTTTCTTTTGTCAAGAGCCAGTGTCTTGTTGAATAAAAGACAATATTTGAGTGCGTGATGTTCTTCCAACAGATATAAAATATGTAAGTATAAAAGGGAGGGCCGTTCCATAAATATTTATTCCGTGTAAATTCCTGACCTTTCACACTCGTCGAGAATTTATTCCCTTTTCAGATAACAGACATTCCTATAATCTCATACCCAAGGGCGAAGATCTACTCTTACACTCGTATTCACAAACAATGCTTACTTGAGTGAAGCAGAAAATCGAACGCACAGCGTTGAATAGAGGTTTGTGTGTCACCCTGTGCGTCCACGCGCATTGTGAGACCTCATAGTAATGTTTATGAATACGGGCTACTTAAAATTTCGATTCGATCATAAAGTGCAACTTTAGAATCTTACTAATCTTACTTCTTACTTAATATTATAAATGCCAAAGTTTGGATGTCTGGATGTTTGTTACTCTTTCACGCAAAAACTACTGAATGGATTTTGATGAATCTTTACAGTATTATTGTTTATAACCCAGAATAACATATAGGCTATAATTTATGACGATCTAAGACAAAGTAAAGTACCTTCTTATTTACTTAGTGCCGCTTGTCTAGACCTAAGTACAGATCTAATTAAGTACCTGATTTTCAATTCCATCAAAAAGCGTCACTTAAGAATCATTATTATTTACGGAATTGCTACCATGTACCTACCTTTTTATTTACTAAGTGCCGCTTGTCTAGACCTAAATCTAATTAAGTACAACTTAAAGAAAAAAGCTAATAAGAAAATTGAAAGACGATCCAAAGAAATAAAATAGAAACCAAATACTTTTAGGTATTTGGACGATAGCTAGAATCTAATAAGAAACGCAAATCTGGTTAGTAGATACCAATACTTCAAACAACTCACAATGTGTTTGTAGGGAGAAACTAGCCAAGTGTGAACTGGAAAATATAAGTTGGATTCAAAACATATAAACCTGTTTTCACCAATCCCTAATTTTTAAGTGACCCTTTTGAAAACAAAATTCCCATTAGTGTTACAATAGGGGTCACTTATAAATTAGAGATTGATGGTGAACACGGACACTTTTTATGGTGTTTTACTACACAATATTAAGGTACTTACTCAACTACATAAGATTGTGTAACCTTTCAAACTCCTTATCCTCCGGCTAAACTAAAGTGTTGAATTTAAATAATTGGTGTCTGATATGTCCAATTGCATAACTATGGTTTAGGGAGAGATATAATCACAAATGTAAATTTTATTTCTAGTTTTGCTCTATCAAATAGGTGTCTTGACTGTTATCGATCGGATATTCAAAGATATACAAAAAGAGGTATTTTTAGAGTACCATTATTTTCTTTTATGTAGCAAACCCTCAAAACTAAGAACTACTTACTACTTGAAGGGTGTAAAGGGTCCAGTGAGCCTACGCTACGTCAAATATTATTCTAAGATAATATGCGAGGCTGTTTGTGTTTAATGCCAAGACCTTTTACTTTTAGGCAATGGTCAATATTGTAGTAAAATAAAAAACGTTTTGTACGTCTTTTTATAGCTACATTATTTTTAGAAATGTGTTCGAGTAACGTTACAGACTGCTTTCTTGGAAAAATGATCGAAGATATTATTTTTAACAAGATTAAATAATGTATTAAGCTCTGAGTGGATGAAATTATTGTGTGCAATTATTTATTTGAAAATGAGAAAAGGTTACAGATTGAAAGCTAAGGACGATATGTCTCGATTTTGAGAGCAATTTATTGAAATCTTTGCCATTGCATCATCGCACCGTTTCGGTTTTTCTACTCTTTTTCAAACGGTGTTTAGCGACTTTGCACAGTTTTGCACTTTGCACCTAGTAACGCTACCACTCATTCACATAACTGCAACTGCTGTATAGCCAGGATTTATAACTTGACTGCCAAAAAACCTATCATTGGACCCTCAATGAAATCAAGAAGAAATAAGAAGATTAATGGGTACTACAACAATAAAAGAAGAACAACTGGGTGCTACATAAGTAGATATACTGCCAACCCTGACTAAAGAGTTAAAGTTAAACTCATCAAAAGCAAATGATCTTTTAAGAAACTCTTCCACCAACATACCTAACGGGAACAGAGCCGTAAATTTTACGATCACATAAATGTATACGCCTAAGGAATTAACTCAACTGAAATGGCTTATGTTGTTTGTAACTTGAGGTATTAATGTTATAAAGTTGTGTCAATTTATTATTAGACGTGCCTCAAATACAGAAATTATTATTTTTTTGTAGTCCTTCAAGCCCCGCGAATTGAGACAGTAGAAATTAATTTTTACGAGGTCTTATGCGACCACTAGGGTTTTGATGGTTTAGAAGAATGGTCAAATGTTTGATTTATTTAGCCATAATTGCCAGGGCATCAGTTTAAACAAGTATTAATTCTTAATACAAAGTATTCATCTTCGCTTAAAACTAATGTATCTATTACAGTCATTAGTTTTAAGCAAATATGAATAGAGTGTGGAAATTAATTTAGATATAGATCGTATCATCCACTAAGACGCGCTCCACCATTCTTCCGCTAATGAGTGTTATCGATACCAATCGATACACGATAAATCATCCATGATTGCACACGCACACTACAATAATGACGCTCGTATTGCTCGGATCAAACTCCCCGCACGACCAAAAATTGGTGTGGCGCGTCTTCGTGGATGAAACGAACTATAGTTGAGAATTTATTTGGTCAACATAATGTGTTTCAAAACGAAATACGACGCAAAACTTTCGCAAAACGTTCGTCAACTTAGTAACAGTTTGAAAATTCCTGCAACAAATGCTCATAAAAGTGGACCTGCAGAAACTCCTGCTAACATTTTCAGCAAATGCAACAAACTGCCGAATGAGGCGTGATTGCAACTCGTACTCGTATATTTTGAACTAAATGTAGCACCTGTTACAGTAGCTTTACAAAGTTTGTACTATTTTCAAGTCGTAAATCAGATAGAAAAGCCAGAAACAGAAGAGATTCTAGACCGTTTAGCTACCAAAACTACCATTAGGTAAATAGTAATTCGTGATTATTACCGCTTTGTATTACCGTGATTTCGATTAAGTTACAATAAAGCTGTACGGACTGATTGCTTATCCCCGTTTTATCGTAAAAGCATAAAACTATACTTTTTGAAATGTATTATGGTTTTTGATAAGTCATTAGTTTGTGTTATGGCGGTCCATGAGCTTTTTTACCCGACTACGGCAAAGTAAAAGGAGGGTTATGATTTTGACAGATTTTATCATTTTTGTGGCATTGTATCAATTTTAGACAATAGAATATGGGCTAAAATCGTCAGCTGGATAACTTCATTACGAACACGGTGGTGTGAACCGGTGAAATGTAAAAAAAATATTTTTTAACAATTTAGTCGAAAAATATTTCTGGACTGAAAATTTTTAGACCACTTATTTGAAATATATCTATTGACATATTTAATTGAATATACAATACTTTTCATCAATTAACCAGCTCGGTATGGGGGGATTTCCTACTATTTGCAAAAGCGTCGCTTGCTCCCTTCAAAGTCTTTCACAGATTTAAAACTTCTTATTTTGTTCGCTGCCAGATTAAAGTTTAGTGATGTTGCTGTTTTTTCTTAAGCTTGCTCGAGTATCTCCTGCAAAGTTTTAAAGGTCATATTTATTAGGTCAACGTTGAAGCCTCAAGAAAAGATTTATCAGAGCAGAACAGGCCGAAGATTTCTTAATAATAATAATAGGTCAAAATACCCGTCTTTAAGATGGAGAAAGATAGAATCTTTGAAACAAAATAATAATAATAATAAATNTAAGGATGGCCCTTTGAGCTCGTTTGTAATAGTTTATACTACGACGAGTACTTACCAACTTTTTTAGAATAAGTGTTGGAAAAGTATAGAACCTAGCTGAAGATCGAACTCTGACGAAGAGACAACGACTGCTAATGGATGTATGTAGTTCTGTTAAGTTAGTGTTAAGAGTTTCATCACAAGACCTTTAGCTTTTTGGACGACAGATCTGACCGCTGAACTTTGGAGACTGGGTAAAATTTTTGTTTGGAAAAATGAATTTTCGTTAAATTCTCGTTCGTTAAAGTTCGTTCGTTTGTTTCAGCCGAAAGACGTCCACTGCTGGACAAAGGCCTCCCCCAAGGATTTCCACAAATTCTTCATACGAGACGATAATTTCATACTAACTTCAACACCTATTACGAGTATTATTCAATAAGTCAATGAACTTTCAACTAAATCGTCTGTGCTGTTTTATTATTTAATCAAACAAAAAAGAACAATATACCACAAAAATGGTGTGAAAATGAAAACATTTTCCCCGAATTATCATACAAAGAAGGCTTTCATAGATTACGTCTTCATTTAGGATATTTCGTAGCTTCTTCAACGTAACTAAGTACTTACTTATCTTATATCAAGTGCTAAAGCTTTTAGGCTTTGTTGAAAAAAAAACATGGAAAAACGTCTTCTTATTTAGTTAGCTACTACAAAATTGTAATGTATAAGTAGGACGATGGCACGTCATACACGGTGGACTCTTATTATGTGTAAATAAACTGAAAAAAAAATGGTTTGGTTCCAAAAAAGTGACCTACGAACTGAAGGTTACTACTAACTGCTAACTTTGGTTATGAAGAACAAAATCTTGTGTATATTATACAAACTATTTTGCAGTCTAGTTATAGGTTA